TGGTCGTCGTTGCTACACGGCTACTCCACACTGCTATACACTCCCCGATGAATAGCTAAGCAGCCATGGTGATGGTAGGAAAGAAAAATAAAAGACGGCTAGAGTTTTTGATGATGTCAAAGTGTGTAGAAAAATGTTATATTTATAGCCATCAAAGTCAAACTTTCCTCCATTATGAAAATCCACTGACTATGAAGATTGAAAAGATTGTGAATGTGTTATTGGTATGTAATTGTTTTATTTACATTTATTGTTTTTGTCTTCTCAATTATATCTGAACGAGATGAACGGGTTGGAGTCATGCATTGGAAGAAAAACATTCTTCACATATCTAATCTTCCACCTTATGCCTAAAAAAACACATTTATTGTTTGCATCTTCTCAATTTTATCCGAACTAGTTGAATAGGTTGGAGTCATGTGTTGGAAGAAAGACATTCTTCACATGTCAAATCTTCCTCCTTATGCCTCACAATGATGGACATGCAGTACCTTTGAATTGAAAAAAAATAAAATTGAATAATATATATGAAGGAAATTTAGGGTTAAATAATGGTCATAAGTTTGTTAGAAAAGAATCTTACAAATGGTGTTTGATGTTACATACAACACATTAATTAACTAGTTTTGTCCAACCGATAGACCCGCATATATAGTAGTAATTTAATTAAGAAATAATTATGTTAGACAACTTGTAATGATTTTTTCCTCAAACTCTTTTCCATCAAATTTGAGAGTCTCAATCGCTTTATCGATTATGATTTGTCTATCATAATCCTCAGAAACTATTCGTTTAATATGCAGTAACTCAAATATAAATAATTCAAGTTACTCCATCATCGTTTCATTCGTACAAGTTCCCTTAGCAAAATCTCTCTTCAATATTCTCTTCCTCCACGGGAAGAACCTTCAAAATTAAATTACAATATTAAACGAAGTTGTTCAATGCTTAATACCAGAAGTTTACAGTTATTACCTTTTGTTTCCTTTTAGGTCTATCCAATTTCAACTTTGTCATAATTCGAACCACATCTTCCTTGCCCTATGCAAGAATGTGTGGCAACTTTTTTTTGCACACTTATAGAATTTGACCAGAAATCTAACAATACAACCTGAAACCAAAATGAAATTAATCATTTTATCGCTACAATTCAGTTTATTTAAATAAGTATTACAACAAAAGACATTTTTAATACTCATTTACCTCTAATATTACAACTCAACCTTTTAGGGAAGTGTGTTTTTCGAGTTTCTGAAAGCTAATTATTTCATCTATCAATTTTTCCCCAATAAATTTCGCCTAATTGAGTTCACCTTTCATCCTTTCGTCACACAACTTCAAATTTTCCTTGCTTGGGCAAGTATCACTCATTGGACAAAGAAATATTCCAACTATGTACAACAACACTCTCGACTTTATTTGATCCTCATCATAATCATTGTTTTTATCTCTCTCCCTCAAGATCATATAAAATAATCTTACTCTTTATATTATACATCATGCTAAGTTTTTTTCTAATCCTCCCTCTCAATTACTTCTTCGACACAAGTCCTTTCATTTTTTTAGCCCAATGTTGTTACAACTTCCTGATCCCCTAGAGGAAGTGAATATCCATTGAACTAAATTCTACGATTTTCTATATCAAAATTCTATATCAACCATTGACACAACTCCTTGTAAATTGGTCGTGTCATTATTTCAATCAAAGTCTCAAAACTTATTTCTTTAACAACATTTAATTTTTCATTTCTTTTCAACTCTTCCATCAATTCATGCAATCTCATTAAGCTACATCTTGTCGAGGCTTCCTACATTTATTAAAAAACAACACAAAAAATATAACGTTCTAGACAACCTTTATAAAAAAAAGTTACAAGTTCAACTAGTTATTTAATTGTCCAATTATAAGGAATACCTTCATTTCGTATAAAATCCTCCATGCATTATATACTTTTTTATGTTTCTCTAACAATTTTACATAAGGTTCTTTCTCTTCTTCAATCATCAAATTCCATTTCACTGCCACTTTTTTTCTAACTTGCAATCAACGTTTCTTTAACAATAATGTTTATAATACTCCATCTCTATAACCTTCTCAATTCAATTTACATACATAACCAACCTTTTTATTGCCATCTCCCTTAAACTATAACCACCATTCAAACAAGTAATAGAAAAATACATGGTTACTTACTAAAAGTGCATATATTGGGTCATTGATTGCTTTGACATTCCTTCTGTCTTAGTAGTATTTTGATCCTAGAAGTCATCTTCTTCTCGAAGAACAATTGAAATGTCATTCATTTTTCCTCTCACACTTTTTTATCTATGATACCATCATCTTTTTCTTCCTTTTCATTCATTACAATATAGATTTGAGCAATATATGTTGTAATAAACAATTATGTAAATGTCAATGTAACTGCAACTATTTTTCATAACTGATTATAGCCACAACTAATCATTATAGTAACCAATTATGTACAAACTATAATGTTATCTACAACCCAATATTTTCTATTTAACCTATAATGTTACATTCTACTTGTTTTACTAACCCCAATTATTTTTCCATTCATTCTACCTATAACAATAATCAATCCATTGTATTACATTTTTCCCTATAAATTAAACTTTAATCTCTAAATCTAAAATACTTGATAATTTTCCTTATGTATCAAAATATGTGGAAAATTTTGATACTTTTAAAGCCTTCTCGTTTTCCTTTTTCTTTAAAATTCGAAAATATCGATACTTGGGGAAAAGTATCGATATAATCGGTTTACAACACAAAATGGTGTATGTAGAAACCAGAAAAGTTACCCATTTATATAATAATATTGGTTGAAATTTAAAATGTTACCCTTCTAACGGTCACAAAATTTATAAATCGTCAATGTTATTAATATAATTAATATTTTAGGTTGCGCTTTAAAATGTTACCATATTTTAAGTTGATATGACTTTATTCATTCACACGACAACAAAATAAGTTGGTTGTTATCTGAAGAGTAGGTTGCGATCTAAAATGTTTTAAATTTCAAAAATATCGATATTATTTAAAAAGTTATCGATACATATCGACAACATAGGTTACCCGATTAAGCCATTTTAAATTATTTTAAAGTACTTGCAACCTAATATATTAAACTTAATTCAACATTTCCAGTAGTGATATACCTATTTTGTTAAGTTCCTTATCAAATTTTTGGTTACGCCATTTTTTAGCATTATATTAGTCTATCGTTCCTTAGAATTTTCCTATTTTTCTCCTAACACTTCAATTGAGTATGTATTGTATTTAAAATAAGTTTAATATAAAAATAAGTGTCTAAAGTATACATAAAATTAACTTTAGGTGCTTAAAATATATTTCATTAAAAATAAGTATCTAAAGTATATTTCATTAAAAATAAGTGTCTAATGTTTTTCTGTTACACTTTTAGGTATCTAATATTTTTATTGTTATATTTTTGTGCCTAGATTATAATGGCCGTCAAATTTGGTCGTTAAGTGACATGTGCCAAACATATAAATTATCTTTTAAAAAATACTTCAAATTAAATTTTATTTGTTAAAACCTAAAATTTTCTGAAATTATAAAAAACCTAAAATTTTGAAAACCCATAATTTCAATCCCTTAGCACCATCAATTGCCACCAACATCATTAATCAATCATATATCCATCGTTTTCGACCTACCAACCACCCAACGGTTGAAACCCTTATTTTTTTACTAAACGAACACCCAATGGTATCGTAAATACAAGATTTCATGATCAAATAAAATGGATTCTCCATGATGCAATCGTCTATTGGTTGCTACAATTAGAGGTTGGAGTAAGGGTTTTGATTGTTGGGTGTTCGTCCGGTCTTATGTCGTTATAATTTCAACCAGTTAGCGATGGTCAGTAGTAACAAAAGTATTAAAATCAGGTTGTTAAGAGGAAGTTTGAGATTTTTGTATAATTTCATAAAAATAATTTTTTAAAGTGTTATTTTAATAAAAATAAAGTTTTAAAATTCTATAAAATTAACATATGTCACTTAACAGTTAAATTTAACTGTTGTTACATGCTAGTCACTTAAAAATATAACGTCAGAAATATCATGACCTAAAAATAAAACGGAGAAAACATTAGTCACCTATTTTTAACGAAAAATATTTTATACACCTAAAGTTAACTTTGGGTATACTTTGGGCACCTATTTTTAGGTTAAGCTCTTGAAATATTTTATATTTTAATAGAGTGATTGTTTATATTATATATTCTTTTATATTTTTTCACTCAAATTCATAATTTTTATTTTTTAAAAAGGGTAAAGTATACAAATGGTCCCCTAATTATAGGGGTTATTTGTTGAGTCTCTTGAATATTAAAAGTTACAAAATAGTCTATTGACTATAGGACATAGCTTAGTTGAGTCCTCGACTATTAAAAGTTACAAAATAGTCACTCGACCATTCATATGTTCTAAATTTGTCCTTTTCCGTTAACAAATTGATGACAGTCTGACTGAACGTTAACTTGCTAACTAAAATATGATAAACTCTAATCACATAATTTCAAATGACTATTATATCTCAATTAATATTTTAACGTTTAGCTCAAACGACCGTCAATGAAAGGAAGAGTTTGGAACGTATGAATAGTCAAATAACTATTTTATAACTATTAATAGTCGAGTGACTCAACGAAGCAATGTCCTATAGTCAGAGGATCATTTTGTAACTTTTAATAATTGAGAGATTCAAAAAGTAATATCTTATAATCGATGGACCATTTCTATATTTTACCTTTAAAAATTACATGAATGTTTAATATTGTATTGTGTCTGTGCTTTTATAGAAAAATATTGGTTTATTTCCTTCTTTTAATAACTCAATAAAACCCAAAACCCAAAACCCAATACAAACTTCGGAAATTTTGCAACCCAAATGGCTTAAAAAGTTTAAAAGGGGGCCTTTAAGATCCAAACCAAGAGGCAGACACTGCAAATATCTATCCTTTTTTCTTCTTTTTCCTTCCTTCTTCCTCTCGCTTGTTGCAGACAATCAATCCCTTGATTCTTGACTCCTGCAGTACAGATGTTTGCTTTGAACCTCATACCCTCCTCTCCCCTCACTTTTCCCAAATCCACTCATCAATTTTATCCCATTAAAAGGATCCAAAACTTTACTAACTCTCCTGTTTTTCTCAGCAAATCCCCAAAAGTTTGCAACTTGAACAAAATCCATGGCTACCCTTTGGGTAAGATCCAAGCTTTAAGCACCAAAACATCTCATTTGTGGAATATCCTTGAAAACCCATCTGGGAAACTAGGGCCCAATGTCCCCAAAGCAGCTTCATCATCTGAACCGAATCCAGAAGGAGAAGCTGAATCTGTTGAAGCATCAGCTAAGTCAAAGGCCAAAACTTTACAGCTCGCGCTTGTGTTCGGTTTTTGGTACTTTCAGAACATTGTCTTTAACATTTACAATAAGAAAGCACTGAATGTCTTCCCATTTCCTTGGCTGCTTGCTTCTTTTCAACTCTTTGCTGGTTCGATTTGGATGTTGGTTCTCTGGTCATTAAAGCTGCAACCTTGTCCCAAAATCACAAAGCCTTTCATTATCGCACTCCTCGGACCGGCATTGTTTCACACAATAGGCCACATCTCAGCCTGTGTTTCGTTCTCCAAAGTTGCTGTTTCCTTCACTCATGTAATCAAATCTTCTGAGCCTGTGTTCTCCGTTGTTTTCTCTTCATTCCTCGGTGACACATACCCTTTGAAAGTCTGGCTTTCAATTGTGCCCATTGTTATGGGATGTTCTCTAGCTGCCATAACCGAGGTTTCCTTCAATTTTGAAGGCTTATGGGGCGCATTGATTAGCAATGTGGGATTCGTGTTGAGAAACATTTATTCCAAAAGAAGTTTGCAGAACTTCAAAGAAGTGAATGGACTGAATCTTTATGGTTGGATCAGTATAATCTCTCTGTTTTATTTGTTCCCAGTGGCGGTTCTTGTTGAAGGGTCCCAATGGGTTCAAGGATACCACAATGCAATCCAATCAGTGGGGAAAGCCTCCACATTTTACACATGGGTTCTGATTTCTGGGATATTCTATCATCTGTACAATCAATCTTCCTATCAGGCACTTGATGAGATTAGCCCTTTGACATTCTCGGTTGGGAACACGATGAAGAGAGTTGTGGTTATAGTTTCGACGGTTTTGGTGTTTAGGAATCCGGTTCGGCCCTTGAATGCACTTGGTTCTGGGATTGCCATTCTGGGAACTTTCTTGTATTCTCAAGCAACTGCCAAGAAGAAGAGCTCTGCTGCTGGTGAAAAGAAAAGCTAAGGTTTTGGTAATCTCTTCAAAGTTGAAACTTTTTTTGTTGCAGATATATCAACTTTTGTTTTTTTATTACAGTATGCTTGTCATAATCTGTTCTTACCGATCAATTTTATCCTGAAAGTATAATTAAGTCATAATAATGATCGCTAATCTTTGAAGGAACTGGTTACTTTTGATGGTTTGTTTAATCAATATCATGATACTTCGTTGTTTTGCCCTAAAAGCAAGGCCATCGTCATGCTATCTCCACCAACCCTGTCAACAATGTAAATATGTGGCCGATTGGTACCTAATCGAACCGAGTTTACTTTGACTCAAAAATTAGTGAGTTTAAAATTATTAAATTTGATTTTAATTCGAAATAAAAATTGAAGTTTGACTCGACTCGAAAGTCCACTAGTTTTAAAATTTTTAAACATCGCTTGAATTTCAAAATAAAAGTTTTAATCGAACTCAAACCGATCTCAAGTATATAAAAGCATTATATTATATATTTTTAAAAATAAAACATGAAAATGCTCATATTAATAATAATTTGATTTTAAAAAATTTAAATTTTAATATATTATTTTTTGTGTGTAGCTCACGAGCATGAGTAGAATATCAAATAGCTCGTTAAGAATTCAAATCGAGTTTGAACTCGAGTTGGGTTCATTTAATATGAGTGTTAATCAAATTAATTTCAAATAACTCATAATCTGTCTCATCTCATTTATAACAATAATACATAACATAAATGCTTCGTAGTAAAGATGGATCGAGAGAATGATAGAAACTATTATCTTCCGTAAAAAATCAAGTTATTATAAAAATTATGTATTCTATTTATATTTTCTAAAGTTTAATAGATTTATTTTTTATAACATATAATTATGTGTTTATTTGAAATTGCTACAAAGAAACAAGTATCTTGGAAAAAAGAGGATACTCAATCTCGCATGTCTCAAATTATAGAAATAATTAATTTTATCTATACATCCCCCAAGTAAGTTTGAGGATCAGTGTCTTTTGATAAATGAAGTGAGTACCATATTGATTAATTTGGACCGACCGCGTCGTACACCTGATTTTGGTGGATGAGTCTCCCAACAGAGATTTTCTGTATATACAAGGACTCGAATTTAAGACCTTATTTAAGCGATATCAAATTGCTTACCACTTGAACCAACCTATATTAGTCAAAATCTTTATTTTTCTAACATATAATTAATGTTGTTTAGATATAAATGTATTTTATATTTATTTAAGATTAATTTGATTTAAAATACGATATTTAAATTTTATCAAACTCATATATTTACAAATGAATAACATGTTTATATTTTTATTTCTAAAATATTTATGATATTTTAATTTTAATTTTACATTTTTATTATTTTTATTACAATTCAAGTACAAACAATTTAATATATTGTTTATATATTAATATAAATTAAATTTATACGTCGAGTAAAAAAATATGTGATATAAATAATTACATATATATATATATACAACGAACCGAATTGAGTGACAAAAATAAAACAAAAACTTAAGTTTAGTGATAATTTAAAATAATACTCAAATAATGTAAATGAAACCACAATAATAGTTAAAATACTAAATATGTAATTTATCCTTAATTTTCTTAACAGAGTTGGTATTTCGGAACAAATAAGATAACGATTTAAATTTTAAAAAATAAAACTTGCGAAAAAATATTTTAGGGAACGATATAATCTTTGGAGCAATGGATCATTTAAGCCTTTTTAAAATCTCTGAAACGAATTATGATTTTATACGTTTAGAACACATATGTATCAAACACAGTTGTTGAGCACTTATATTATTAGAACTGAAGACTTCACTTCAACAACCAATGCACAACTTACATAAGATATCGGAGGATCAAAATCAATCATAAACCTCAAACTGCAGCACTTGGAAGGCACAAAAATAACCCAAAAAGAAGAGAGAAAATCAAACCACTCATTCTTGAAAGAAAGAAAGAAAAGAAAAACCATGACTACCATTGATGAAAAAAATATGATGGTAACCAAATAAGAAAACCCCAGAACTCGAAAACTCGAAACTTTCTACTTTTCTTTCTTTCCGAACTACATTTTGTTTTCTTCATTCGGAGTCACTAGAGGTCGAGCTGGAACTCGAACTAGAACTTGAGTCATGAGATTTTGACTTCTTACCTTTAAGGTTCAGACTAGATTTTTCGGATGCTTCTTCATATTCATTGCTTGGTTCACTAGCAGCATTCTCCCTGTTTTCTTTAATACCAGAGACTGCGTTACTAGATTCAATCTCTTTCGCCGAAACTGCATCGTTCTGCTCTATCTCAGACGGTCCATTCTGTAAGTCTGAAGAGAGTTGGAAAGCAGTATGGATATCCTCCAGCGATTTTTCCTCAACAACAGGTAATTTTGAATGGGTATCTGCATGATCCTGCTGGTTCTTAATTATACTTGGGAGAATTACTTCCTCAACATCGACCCCTTCATGAAGTTGCTTGAAAGTCAAATCAATATTTTCCGTTGATCTTGCTTCAAGAACAGACAGCTCAACATCGGTCTCGATCTTCATAACCTCGGGTAACAGTGCAGATTCAGTATTGGCAACATGAGATCCCTCAGGTAGATCAATTTTCTCGACATTAAAGACCCCAGCGGTATCCAATTCAGAGAGGATTCCTTCATCAATCTCTTCAATATTGTCATCCTCTTCACTGTTATTTTCCTCAATATCATAAGTGGCATATACTTCTGCTGCACGATTAAAGTGCTCGGATACCTCTTGAGAGATGCCCTCTCTTTCCATTTCATTTAGGACTCGACCTTTCAAGTCTTCTTGATCTGTTGGCAACGTATTTTCAGGACTCTCGGATGGAGAAGAAGCAGAGTCTGAAATCATGGAAGAGTAATTTGTTGAAACTTTGTCCTCAGACTCGGAAATGTTATGCACATTAAGATCATTGTTGCCAATGTCTACTTCCTGTACAGACTCCATTGCAATTATACACGGTTCCTGAATCAGGGTTGCCATAGTTAGTTTCATGCCTTGATTATAATTGGGGTATGTAGATACCATAAAAGCTGAGATAGATCATGTGAAATACAGGGAATTAGTACTATGTTCTATCAAGAATGCTAGAGGGAAAAGGATGATTATGAAACGAAAGAAAGCAAACAAATCAAACTCCTGAAAAATTCAGGTATCCAAGGAAAGTCAAATAGATAGGGCATTAAATAGGCTAAGCCACACTATTTAATTGTACATGCTATAAGAAAACTTCATATTGGGTAAATCAGTCGCTCAACCCCATGAAATGTTAATATCTGTAACTATATGATTATCATATAATCCATGTTTAATTAGCTACCTTCAACATGATTCTTTGACTAAAAAAATAATATCACTGCTTTCAACTATTATTTCCTTTTGCTGATACACTTACACAGCAAAAGAATCAAATAGGAAAAAGATGGAATGAAAAACCAAACAGGATGGATTATCATTTTACTCGTATCAACTTCTGAGCTCGCACAAAAAATTCACAACAGAACATGATCTAATGAGATCAAAATAAGCATCTAGTATTTGATAAAAGAAAAAAAATATACGAAGACAAAACATGCAAAATAATTGATACGGATACTCTTCAAAGAAGCATGACAATTAATCCATGGGAAGAAATTTAAACAAATATAAGAAATGCTTGCATAACTTACCTCCAGCTTAACATCTTCATCAATGAATGGTTCATCAATAGAAATATCAGACCCCGACATCAGATTCTCCAATTCTGGTGAAGGGTTTTCTCTAGTAAGAGCAGCTTGATAATTAGAGTTCGAAGAAATTCCCTCCAAATTTGTATCATGGTCAAGACCAGTATCAATCTTTGATTCCAAACATGTTGGTTCGACTTCATCCATTTCAGATTCATTCCTATGTACCTCCCTGAGGTTAGCTTCTGAAGGGTCATCTTGTGAAACCTGAGCCACTGCTGTGTGACAAGATTCCTGACCCTCGTCATGGTGGCCATCAACATCAAGACTTGCATCAAAGTTTGACAAATGCATTTGATCACATTCAGTCTGGATGATTTCTTCTTTGGGAAAAACACCAGGCCATACTATGTCATGCTCTAATGAACTTGACGGATGAATTTCATCTCGCTCAAGCTGAGTGTCTTCCCTATCAACAGCATGCCTATCTCCTGGTTCAGCCTTTGAAGATTCACGGTTCCCTAGATGCCGTTGGCCCTCTGGTGAAGAATCCATCATCTTATCAATTCCTTGGTCAACAGCAAGAGTCATCCCTGCACCAAGGCAAAGTAAGTCCACTTGATTCTGGATCAAGCCTTCTTCCTGATTTGGTACACCGTGCTCCGATCCCTCGTCAGAAGATGATGGCACAGCATCCCTTGAAACATATTCAACCACAGATTCAGGCACCATTGACACATTATGATTAGAAAAAGAGGTAGAAACTGATAATGAACCAGCATGCGTAACACCACACTCACTAATCCCTGGGAGATCCCTTGCTTTTTGCTCATTTTCCAGTAAATCCGAGAATGCAGCATGCATCTTTTGAAAACTACAAATACCCTGCTCAATAGTTTCAGCATGCCCTTCAGGTTCCTTATCAGTGGACTCAACCAACATTGAGGATGCACCCATTTCAGATGTAACAGCTTGTCCATCGGAAGAGACAGATGAAAAAAAGGGGACCTTCTCAACTGATGGACTTGAATCATAAACAGGCTCACTATGCTTGTCATCCATCACCTTAGCTGTAAAATGGAATTCTGATTCCTCAAATGATGGTTGTGAAAATATGCCAGATCCTTTAATTTCATGACCTGTGGGTTCAAAACCTGCAGATCCTTCTCCACTGGCATCCAATATCTTTTCATCTATTTCTGATAGTGATAAACTTGATCCACCGCTAAAATCCTCATCAACTGACTTTGTTTTGGAATAAATTTCACTTGGATTGAGTTCCACATGAATCGTTGCTCCAGCTTCAGAAAAAAATGATTCTGTTTCCTTTTGATTTTCTCCATCTCCCGACTCAATCGCAACAACATCACGATGAACATCTGTATTCTCAGGTTGGCCAAAATGAGGCATTGGTTCGATTTCAATTCCATTGAGCTCCCGATGAGCAGATGTCCCAGGTTCAGGAAAATTTGATTCCATTTCCAGCTGACTTTTTCCATCTCCCAATGTGGTCTCAACCGCAGCAGGGTGAACATCTCTATTCTCAACTTGTTCAACATTTGCAGGCTTAATGTATCCAGACGATAGGCTCTCTTGTTCATCATGGGAAGAAGCATGAACTTCATTCACAATCAGTTCAGTTTCTTGAGAAATATCTTGCCCGCATGACTTGCTGTCTTCCTCATCCACAACGGAACTCACCGATTCAGTATCAGGAACAGAACTCAACATCGACTCACTAACTTCACTCAACTGCCTTTGGAATGAGGAAGGGTTAGATCCTTCAGTCTCTGGGACAAAATACGGTTTCCACTTAAGCTCTTTCCGAGTAACACCCAAAGATGATGGTCCCACATTGAAGCTTTCATGTCTTCTTAAGAAAGCTCCTCTTTGGGAAACTGTTTCCCTTTGATTAAAACCTGCAAACTCCTCTTGGAAACTATCTCCTTTAAGATCAGGCTTTTCCTCACCCGAGTCATAAGGAAGATCAAAAGGGTTTCTTCTTGGCTGAAAAATAGTGGGAGCTGACCCTGGCATGGGAGGTAACCCTAGGTCATCATAGGAATCATGAGGAAATTCAAACGGATTTCGTCTAGCTACAGAAATAGGGGTGATGTTTAAGGGAATATCAGCACTTTCTAAGTCTATTAGACTCCTCTCAATCATCAATCCCATGCCTTTACGTGCCCTTCTCCTCGCAATAAGATTATGCAATCGTTGGTTTCTTTCAAGTTCTGAAGTCCCCAAATCCATGAGATTCTTCTGATCATCCTCTGTCCATTTAATTGCAGATTTGCTTTCATCCTCTTTATCTCCCTTTTCTCCTTCTTTTTCTCCTTCTCCCTCGTCCTCATCACTATCTTCCTCCCCCTGGTTTTCTATCTCACCGGACTCCACACTCTCATCATTATTACTACCATGAGACCTCTCTGAGGAGGCATCTGAATCATCAGCAGACAACTGAGCCAGTTGAGGAGCATTTGAGCCCAAAAGTGGATGGAACTCATCAAGCATCGGAATTATATCAGCCATTGAAGCATCAGGAGAACTCTCAGCACCATCGGAACCAGAATCCAGCGATTCATCATCGTCGTTAACACCATCACCGTCATCCTCATCATCCACAGGGCATTTCCAAGAGGAAGCCGAGGAAGAATCGAATTCGTTACCCCTTTGTTTATTGTGATCTTCTTTGAGTTTATGCTCCACTTCAAGATTCCTATCTCTAGCCACATCAGCCAAAACATGATCATCATCTGACGCCTCCACCAAACTGAACAGACCTTCACTCCCTAGAATCTTCTCCTGGATTTCCCTCTTCTTCTCCATCCATGTATCATTCGATGATTCCTCAACCTCGTCAATTACTCCACCCTCACAATGAATATCCCTAGAATCCAAATCATCATTCACCAGCAGCTTATAACGAACTGAACCGTCATCTTCCTCCACTTCACCAACCTCATTATCCACCAAATTAACTTTCTCCTCAGCATTCTCGACTTTACCCCACCTCTTCCCAACATGTCTTTCCACAACAAAATCATCATCACCGACATCACTGTCCGCAACAGTATGATCCTCTGGAGCCCCGGTTTTCAATTCTGAAACTTCATGGCTAACTTTCTCTTCTTCTCCTTTCTCTTCATCAATTTCAGGTATGTACGGTGATCCAAAACTCAAAAGTGTGCCAAGTAAAACAGCAGTGCAAACCAAAACAGGAGATGCAGTAACCAAAGCAGAAAATAACGAAGGAAATGATGTATACAGAAGCATAAAAAGACAAATCAAACCAACCAAAAATGGATGATTCCAAATCGATCTATAACATATTTTAACTGATATCAACATGAATTTACTAACTCTAACACCAAGTTTTAATCTCTGAAGTCCCATATCTCACTATCTATTGATTTATTTCTTCTCAATTTTCAATCTGTTAAAGAAAGAACCAATTAAAAACAAAACAAAAAATTGGATCCAAAAGGAAAAGCATATTACAAAACTTAAGTGTGAACTCACCTTAAAGGTAGAATTAAATGAAAAGACGGAGCAATCAGATGAAGATCAACCCAATAGTTGAAAAGCAACAACTAAGAGTTGTTGAGCGATAAAACTGGCAAAAAAATCAAAAGAAGACAATTTTAAGCAAAGTTGAATCACATAAAAAATTGAACTTTCAAGCAAAAGAGAAAGACTCCAAAAATACCTGCAAAATTCCAGAAACCCCGAGGCTTTAAAAACATGGGAAATCGAAAATCAAGGGAATCTTGTAAATGGTTAAATGATAAGAATTCAATAATTAAAGAGGCAATCCAGCTCTTTATTTTTGCTTGTTTTTTATTTTTTTGACTCAGCAAACAGCTATGAAGTCGTAATGGTGGCTTTTTCGTTTTTCTTTCTTTTCGTCTTTTGTTTATTCAATTGTTTTGCAGGGAATGAAAAGGAAATGGGGTGGCACAAAAAGAAGATCGAGAAAGAGACTGATCGAGTACCGAAAGGCAGATGGTTCTTAGTTTCTTACTATAGTCTATTTGAATATATAAATACAACATATTTATATATAATGACTTAAATATATAAATATAAAATATTTTAAAAAGGTTTAATGTACTATTTTCACCTCAATTATAATGTTTTTGAATAAAGATTTTATTTTTTTAGAATCTTTGTTTTTCTAAAATTTAATTCATTAGTATTTTATCCCAAATGTTAATATTCTTTTAAAAAAACAAAATCTAATTAATCAAAGCACGTCATATAACACTAATGACTTAAACAATATACTTAATTTTCATACTAAATGATAGATGACATTCTCAAGTCATTCAGATTTTCCTTTTTGTTTAATTTAATTATTAAATTTCTTATTTAATTTTAAATAGAGTATATTTGAATAAAAATTTGATAAAATTAATAGATTATGGTAAAATTAAAAGAATAAATTATATTATTCATCGCTCAATTATTTTTTTACTTTTATTTTGGACATTAAAATTAAAAAAAAACATTAATTTAATCACTTACCTTTGAATATTAAACTTTTTAATTATTTTACCGTTTTTTCTTTAACTTTGTGGTGAAATGATAATTTATTAATTTATGAGCTACCACATAGGTATTAATTAATATTTTATTTATTTATTATTATATTAGTTTATTAATATTATTTATTTCTAAAAATATTAGTTTATTAATATTATTTATTTCTAAAAATATTTTATTATTTTATATTAGTTTAGTAATATTAGTTTATTTTATATTATTTATTTGTTTTATTTTTTAAAATATATTCCGTAAATTATCCATTTTAGAGTTAATTTTACATAAGACTTCAATCTCGTTAATTTTAAATAAGAACTTAATCTCTATCTCTATTTTAATTAAATTCGAACTTATCAAATTATAAAGTAATTTTATTTTTTCTAAACTCTATCTATTGCCACGAAATACAAAGAGAACAAATTCATCTAATCCCCTATAGTTTCATTTTAAATTCTACAACTATTAATTTTGTTAACTTTTTCTAAAATTGTGTGATCTCTCTCCACTAAGCCTTTGACTCAAGATTCTGACATAAAATCTTTGCTAGTTATTATATTTGTTGTTCTACAATTTAAGGTGTGTGTCTTACCATTATACAACCGTTTTAATTTTGTTTAATAATTTTTATTGAATCTAGAATAATTAAATTCATATTAGTGTCGTGGTGATGTATTTGAATCTATGTGTATTTCTGTCTGATGTTAACTTTTATTATGTTTTATTTGATTGACTGATTGAAAATTTACTTGAAATCATGATTGTTTCATGAAATTGTTGTATTAAATACAATTTGGATAAATGTTATGTGATGCATGTTAATTATCAACTTTGGACTTTATGCTATGCATTCAAACTAAGTGATTATATAAATCTTTTTTACAGTCGTACATATCGGAATTCAAATAGATCGAAACACATATATTTATCATGTTACCATATCATACTAGTCTGAGATTAATACGGGAAATTCAGTATTCACCCGACAAGGTGAATTTCACTTCGAGAACCACTCTTGTTTTTGTGGAAGACCTCAATTCAGATGACGATATTATAGTGATTTTGGGGAACCTATTCTTCGGATAGTGTAAGGCGTATCGTTACATATTCATTGCATGTTAATCGAATTATGAATATTTCAGAGATTTATGATTGTTGCATTTTAGATATATACTAAGCTTAATAGTTTATACCCTTTTAGTTCTCTTTTAGATTTTTATATTTAGGAGATTCGGTACTTGGAGTGTTACATCATTTAATTTCAGAGAAACTTTTATTTTCATTATGAATTTTATACTATTTCCCTCCATTGAATGTTTAATTATTGTTTTCGAAGTTTTTATTATTTGTGTTATGGGACTTGGATGATAGTATTTTTTGTTTTGGTTTTGGTTTAGGTTTAGGTTGATATTGAATGATTTATTTTATTATTTATTGTATTATTTCTGGCGATGCAATTCTTGTAGTGAAGGGTTTTTCAATTTGTTTTAATAAACTTTTGGGCTTATGTTGAAAGACAAGTTAAGTGGGTCTTTTGGATTGACCCATTACATTTAGGTTGAGTAAAAGAGTTACAAAAAATAACCAAAAAGAGAGAAAAGGAAAAAAGAAATACGAAAAGATGAAAAAATAGCTTTTTATTTAAACTAAAACGACATCGTTTTGGTTTAAAAAAAATTCTAGGAATTCAAATTATATAATTTTGATGTTGGTTGCTATATCATAATTAGTAGGCATGGAAATGAACTGAACGTTCAGCGAAATGTTCATGAACCGTGCGGTGGGAAGTTCGTTTATGTTCATTTATTTATTAAATGAACGAACATGAACAAGATTTTGCGGTCGTTTAATTAAATGAACGAACATGAACAAAGGGCTCGTTCGTTCATTTACGTTTGTGAATGTTCGATTATATGTTCGTTTATGTTCGTTCATTTATGTTAATTTATGTTCGAACAGAGGGCAAGTTGAATATGTTACGAAGATTATTGAAGTTGTTTGGATTTCAAGAAGATTGTTTTGTTGAACAAATTAACTTTAAGAATTTATTATGTTCATATAGCTTATTTATGATTTATGTATGTTTTTGTCGTATTCGAACAAATTAACTCTAAAGTTGTAGGTTATATTAATGAATTTTAAGTTGTTATTTTTGTTGTTTACTTTTTTTACATTCGTTTGTTGTGTTCGAATAAGTTTTTTTTGTTTGTGTTGTTCGTTTATGTTCGTTTATTGTGTTCGTTTATGTTCGTTCATTCGTGTTCGTTTATTTATTAAATGAACGAACATGAACAAACTATATTCCTTAATGAACGAACATGAACATACATCCGTTCGTGTGAGTTCGGTTCGTTTACAAGCCTAATAATTAGGGTCATATTTTTTTAAAAAAAATTCAGGTTCGGGTTAGGTCGAGTCAATTTTTTAAAGGGTGAGGTCACGTCGGGTTGGGTTTTGTGGATGATGAAAAAACTCCGATCCAACATGACCTTAGGATAATAATGAAATTTCCTTAAAGATTTTGTTATTATTTTAACTAAATGTTTAATTTATACTGTGTCAGATCAGATTTAAACTCTAAAAAATCGAGTCGCGTCGGAGTTGGGCAGAAGATATATATTTTTTTTGGTCGGGTCGAATTCAAATAGAAGATATATATTTTCAGATTGGATCGGGTTGATCAAAGCCCGATCCTAATCCGATCCTAATCCGATCCGTTGCCATCCTTAATCATAATGCCATTAGTTATATAACGATAGAGATAAAAATAAGAACTCAAAAGTTAAGAACTCTAAAGTAAGAATTAAAAGACCGTTGATCTTTACCCAATTTAGAAAGTGACCATTAAGGGAGGGCTTCTAAAAGTTTTCAGGGATTTTCGCTATCTTCACCAAAATTTATGTATAAGAGTCCCTAAATTTTTACTGCTGCAAACAATCCCAGGTTCGCTCTTTGTTTATTATTGTAATTAACTTATTGTTTGTTATCTCTCCTGTGAAAACTTTGTTGGACTTTTTCGCCTGCTTGGAAACCCTAGGTTTTCGATTCTTTTTTCTAGCAAACTTAAGTGGAAATGGAATTGAAATTTTGAAATATCCGAAACTGATATCTGTTCTACGGAGCATTTTTATAGTGGGAACAGTTGAGAGTTCATTTCTCCCTTATAGCTAGTTCCTAGTTTTAATTTATTTATTTTATATGTATAACTGAGGTTTGAAATTCGAGAAGCCTTAGCCTGTTAAATTATGTAGGACATGAAATTTATAGTTGAATTTTTTTTCTTTAACTGACTATTGTGAGTAATAATTTGTTGGACTGATGCCAAGGTCTTCATGGGGTTTAGGGTGGACTATAGATTTGTAAAAGTTTGAGAAAGGATTTGAGATTATGCTGCTGTATTTTATAAATGAAAGAGGTGAAGGAAAGCGACAATAATGCAAAATCTCATTTCTGGTAAAATTTTGAGCTTGTATGGCTTATATAAAAATTCTTGGTGAACCATGTTTGTGAAAATCAATTTTGTCACACATTAAAATACTCTAGGAAAGAAATGTCGAAATTTTGCCTACTTGGGGTTCATAGTGGTGACTGGTGAGGAGTAGATAAGGGACTTTACGGCTATTGCTTTTTTAGGAATAAGGTTACAAATTTTGGAATCAATTGAGATTTTATCTCAAGAGAAAGATAAAATTAAGGAAACTTTTAAGTTCTTAATTGAGAGGTTTGGCTAGTGGGAATGAGATGAAGATATGTGGCAAGAACTTGGTCTGAAAGTCAGAAGAGAAGAAATGTGGTTAGATTGCAAAGAAGGGAAGTAACACTATACTGTGGGTTGAGAGAAAAATTTGAGGAAGAACTCAATCACAAATTTCTAAAAATACTTGATAACTCAAATTTTCTTTAAAATTCAAATCAGTTTTTTTTCTCCCAAGATTTGCAATCCTAAGAGATAGAGGCAAATTATGTTTTTTCCCCTTTGACTAGGAAAACGGTTTCTAAAAACATTATGTTTTGGTATAAAACTCAAGTAATGTAAACTAAAGAGTATATGTAGTAACTGAATGGACCATGACTGATGCCCATGCTAGCAAACCAAAATACTGCTTAACTCAAAAACTCTAGTTAGCTGATAAATGCTTATAACAA